CACTCAGCCTGGGTGTCTCCCGCTTCTGCCGCCCCGCCGCGCCGCCGCAAACCGGCGCTGCCGCCGCGGCCGCGGCTGCGGCCTGGGCGCCGCTGGCGGCACGCCTGGCGGACGCGCCGGCCCTCTGGCTGCAGCTGAGGGACCGGGTCGCGCTGCCGCTGCTCGCGGCCGCGCGCGCGGCGGCGGGGCTGCCGCCGCCTGTCGGGCTGCTGACGCTGCCGTGGGAGCTGCAGGAAGCTTGGCTGAAGCTGCTGCCGGTGGGTTTTGGCGGGGGCGGGGGTTGACGCTGAAGCCTCTGCTGCTGCTGCCGCTGCTGCTGCCGCTGCTGCTGCCGCTGCTGCTGCTGCTGCGTGCTGCTGCCCATCGTAATGGTTGCGGCGGCGTCCATTGCCATGGCCCTGGTTTGATACCTGGTCCTGACCTGTTGCTGCCCATCATACACCCCTACTTGGCGCGCACGCACATTCCTTATTGTTTGCTGCCTATGTTGTTCAAACCTGCCGCTCTGCAGGCCAAGGACTTGGCGTCCCTCGCGGGCAGCTGCTGCCAGCTGCGCAACCTCGGATCGCTCGACTCCCTGTGGCTCCCGCTTTTCGAGGCCGAGTTCCCGCACGCCTCGCCGGCGGAGCGAGCCGACGGCAACGCGCACGGCTGGAAGGCCGCCTTCGCCGAGGCCTGGCGGCGCCGCGCCGCGCGGCGCCGCGCCGCGCACAGGCTGCTGCGGCCGCACGCGCGGCCGTTCCCGCCGGCGCCGGCGCCCTGGGCGCCGCTGTTGCCGCCTGGGGGCCCGCGGATGCCCCCAAACGTCATCGGCGGGGACTATGACAGGTGAGGCCGGGGTATGTCATTCGCGTGCCCAGTGCGCCGCGGCTCCTGGGTGTCGTCATTGCAGGAATTTACATGGTCGCGTAGTCAGGCTCACCTGTTGGGGGCGGCTGGGGAGGGAGGGGGGGTCCGCGAGGTCATGCGTGGCGCCCGCGGCTCAACCGTTTGCCAACCGCTGTCGAACGGTCCTGCTTGCCGACGACGTCTCCTGAAGTTTTCTTGGTTTTGAGCCAACCTGCGGACGCTCGGGCTTTGGTGCCGATGATGGCGCCTACTTGGGCGACGCGACGTCCCTGCCGGTGGCTTGACAACCAATCTAATGTTTGCAGGTTGCCTGGTGGCCTAGGCTACTTTGGGGGCCCCGGTGGGGTCGGTGGTGGGGGCGGCCCTTTTGTGGGCCCCTCTGGCTTCTTCACACCGTCGCAGGGCTTCGGCGGCGGGGGCGGCCCGCTCGGCGGCGGCGGCGGCGGCCCCCCGTTCGCGCCAGGCTTTCGCGGCGGCGGCCGGCGCGGCGGCGCCGGGGGCCAGTGGCGCCTTTACTGAAGCGGGTGGTGGAGGGGGACGTCAGTGGCAGCGTCGTGCGGCGTGCGTTTTTTGCGTGAGTGCAGTTGTGAGGGTGCGCACGCTGTGGTTTGGCAGTGTTGATTGCCGCCGCCTGCGGGGGTTTGTGATGGTTGCAGCGGCGCGTTAGGCTCCCGCCGTCGTCGATCGTGCATAGCTGAGTTGTGGAGCGCCCCATCCACGCCAGAGGACTGCTCGGCCGTCACGCTTGCCTGCACCATTGCGATTCGCACTCAGGCACGGCAGGGCAGGGCAGCCACCAATGTAGCCGCGTGGAGCCCCTGCAAGCCTGACACTTTATGATACCTTGTAGGTAGCCGTCAGCTGGCTCGGCAGGCGGCGCTGGCCCGTGGTCATGAGGAGCTCGAGGTACAGACGGGCGGCCTGAACCACAACCCCCGCGGGCCGGACGTCCGAGGTTTGGGGACCAGTAGTCCGAGGTCACAGACCTGCACGTCCCTGCTGTATAAAGAGGCCAAGGCGCATCGAGCTGTTGCTTATGTGGGCACACGATTATTGGTCTTCACACGATGATTGGTTTGGATTGGGTGCAGTGTTGTGCGTTGCACCTCTGAAGCACGGGTTGTATTTGCGTGACTGTCGTTTACGAGAGCGGTTGCCTCCCTGACCTCGAATGATAAATGTAAGCATTACAAAGCAGGCAAAACTTTGTCGCCAGCAGTATGGTTGTGCGGTTGGTGACTGCGTGTCCTGATAGTGAGGCGTCCTAGCTGCAACGTTCCCTACCAAAGGGCAGGCAGGCGCCCCGCATCAATCGATCCCCACTGCTCCCGCGCTCTTGCCTCGATCCATGTCGCCTGCTCACACTCGCACGCCGCGGACGTGTGCGTGCATCAGGCAGCGACCGCCCCCAGCAGCCCAGAATGCACTCAAGACTGCCCCAAGTAGCATTACTATTGCAGCCGTGCCAGCTGCCGGCGCAGGGCCGCGCGGCGGCCCGGGGCCGGGCCCGGCGCCGCCGGCCCGCGTGCGGCGCGGGCGTGTCCCTCGGCAGACGCAGCCGATGCCACCTATAACGAGGTTTGGCTCGTGGCTTGGGACGAGCGTGTGCTGCGGCCGGCGTGCGGCGGCTGCTGATGTCCTGTTGAAATTCGGGCCTGCATCCAATGCGTGGTTTCTGCGTGTTTGGGCTGTGCATGGAAATCGGGACAGATTGAGGGATCAAAGTGCCTAAAAAGGTGCGGGTCCGCGCCGCCCACCGTCGAAAAATCAATGCACGAAGGGACGCGCCCACAACGCTGCAGCGCAGCAGCGCGGCGAGGCAACAAGTGCGCGCGGCTATCTTGAGCGGTGCGCCCGCCGCGTGCACGCGGGCGGGCCGGTGGCAGGCTCTGTGAAAGTTGAGGCGGGCGCATTCCACTTCTGCTTTGCATGTTATCAAAGTCTGGGCCGATAACTGATTGCAATCCTACAAACAAGCCCGTACTTGGATGATTGGCATGATTTGCCGCACGCAGGCAAGCAGGATACCAGGTTCTTGGCGCAAGCAGGGTAAACGGGGGGCGCGGGGCTCGCCGCGCACGTGGGGGGCGTGGCGCAGCCGCAGGGGCAGGCGCCGCTTGACGCTTCAAAGAGGGGTAGTGGGCCGCCTGCCGCGGAAGCGCGCAAGAGGCCCAACTGGAGGAGGCTGGAGGGTCCGCCCGCGCGGAACGCCCGGCTGCTGGGAGGCAGGGGCCGGTTGAGGGGGCGACGGGGGCTAATGCAGTGCACCAGGCAGCAATTGCGACAGGAAGGCCGGTTGGCCGCCGCCGCAGCCAGCCGCGGCGAGCTGGGGTGCCGCTCCACGCTGCGCCGTTGGCGGCGAGCACGGCGCCGGACCTGGGGGTTGCAGCCCTCCAGGCTCGCGGCGCCACAAACAGCGGGCGGGCGGGCGCCAGCCACCCCACCCCCGCCGCGGTATCAATGCACAGGGGCATGCATGCCGCCTTTCCGGCCCACCCGCAGTTTTAAAGGCGAAAATGAGAGCACACAAGAGACGATCTGCAGACGAAAGGCCGCCTTTGGGTTGTGAGCGGTCTGGGGCTCTACAAGTACGGGTGTCGTGGCTATGTGATTTGCGTCGCTGCAGGCACGCACGCATTGACGTAGGTAAGAGGCGCCGCGCCCTCGGACGCCTGAAGATTCCGGCTGTGGAGCTACTCTGCAGCGGCACGCGGCGCCATCATCGCGGCCGCCGCGGCCCGGTGTGTGCGATGCACAAATCGGCGCGGCCGCGCCCGCCGCCAGCCAACAGCCTCTCGTGGGCAGGCCCGCGCCGCATGAGGGCCGGGGCGCGCAGCTGCCGGGTTTCCAGCATGCACCAGGCCCATTAGAAGCGGTGTGGGCACGCCCGAGCTGATGGGGCGCCCGCGGCAGCACGGGGGCGGATGGATGCCTGCGAGGCATGCCGCGCCCAGGCGCCGCCCAGTCGCACACTGCTGGTGCCATTGCTCAGCCATTGACACTTGCGGGACGGATAGGATTGTGGCGCGCGCCACGCGCGCCGCCCAGAAGGCAAGGTTGTCAGGGTCGCGCGTGGCAGCACGCACGGCGACGCCCGCGGCGGTGCGGCGAGGATGCGCGAGCGAGCGCCGCACCGCAGGGCGGCACACGCCCCTCCGCACGGGCGGGCCGTCTCCTCTCGACCGATCGCGGGCCGCCTATCCTTGCCGTTAAATTGATGCTATAGATTCGCCCCGTTAGATTCGTCGGCCGGCGGCAGTGCTTCCGCGCCCACTGCCTGGCGGCCTGCGCCTGCTGCGCGCGCACACGCGCGCGTGTGCCCTTGCCTCACTTCAGAGGCATGGGATGACCCACAAACAGATGTGTGTGCGTGTGTGCATGCTTGTCTGTGATTCAAAGTGCGTGAGGGGTTGTGAGTAAATGTGTGTGTGCGTGTGTGGGCATGCCAGCGTGTGTGCATGTGCGGATCGCAAGCTACCCGGCTGCAACAAACAATTGGACGACCAAGCGCGGTGCCTGGGGATCAAAGTGCGTCTCGCCGCCTCAGCCGCCCCCGCACGCGCCATCCGCAGCCATCGGCGCAGCAGGGGGCGCGAAGGGCGCACACGCATGAGGGGCAAACAGAAGGGTGTTCTGCGCAGGCTGCTAAAAGCGCGTGCATCAAGGGAGAGGTTCTCGGCTGAACCGCGGCACCGCGCCCACACCCACTGCCATTGCATAATGTATGGGCGCGGCCGCACGGCCCTGAACCGATGCATAACCGATAGAGGACCGATCGCGACGCGATCGCCGCAGCATACGCGCCGAATCCAGGCGTCGGGGGTGCTGCGGCGAGGGGCGGCGCGCCCGCTGGTCTGCGGTGGCCTGATGGCACTTTGGAGCCTGGAGGCCTTGAATCCCTGCCCCAATCACTGGCCTATGCTCTGCAGCACCGACGCCACGAGCTGGTGTGCTGTCTCCACCTGGACCTGGCCCCCCACCAGCTGCAGGCAGAAGACGCCCGGCCCGACCGCCTGGCCGGTGACGTCAGCGCCGCTCATCGTCTGGATCGAGTAGATGTGGGGCATCACCGCAGCCATCTTGTGGGCTGGGACCGGGACCTGCAGCGCGTGCAGCGGCGCCGCCGCGGCCGCGGCCGCCGCGGCGCCGCCGCCCGCCTGGGCAAAGACGGCGCTGCCGGAGCCGCTCAGGAGGCCGGCGCTCCCGCCGGACAGCGCGGGGCCGCTCGACGCGAGCGACGTGCTCGTGGCCGACCCGAGGCCGCCGAGCGGCCCGCTGGGGCCAGTTGTGCCGACGGCGCTCGGGCCGCTGCCGCCGGCGTCGCCGCCAAACGTCTGCAAGAGGAGCGGCCCGCTCCCGCCCGCGCTCGCACGCGCGCCTACGAGGCCGCCAGCTGTCGCGTCGGGCGGCGGCGCCAGCAGCACCAGCTGCGCCGGCGCGGCGCCGCCGCCGCCGTGCGCGCTCAGGCGCGGCC